AATTAAAGAAACAATGGTACACGATTACCAACCTACAAAAATAATGCTGTAACAGTAGTAATAACAATTATTAATCTTTTGTTTAATTTACCGGTGGGTGAGTATAGCTGGAAAGTAACTTTGACGTCCCATGTCTAGTTGCTCCAAGACCAGGTTGGACCACCCAGCAAACTTTTTTCTACAAAACTTGCACTCCAGGTATTCTGTGGCCATGTAGTAGTATCCATCCAAACTAAGAACTTTACGTAAAGTACGATAAAGCCCAGCCTGGGTCAAATACACCTGTAATGAAATAATTGAAGTAAAATATCATTACATAAAAGGATCAATCTGAAAGCAACTAGGACATTATCCCACTGAAGATAGTGTATGTTAAACAGGTCACTTAATAACATGCACAAGAACTATTTACATACATGTAACATGTGTCATCATGTAATGGCTAAAAAATTAATAATTATAAATGATATCTATTTGTGAATCAATAATAAATCAATGACTGACATTGATGGCCAATAACGAGCAAATTGCTAACAAGTTATAAAATATGACATACCTTGCCAAACAAACTGAGATAATGAGACCACATTTGTTACAGACAGGTAGGTTACATACCAACCTTTACTTTTTTTCATCTTGCTTTGCTTGACACTCCTTAGTGCATCTTAAATCAACTGCCCAAATCCTCTGTGGCGCCCAAAAGAAGAATGGTTCGAGGAAGTATGCATCTGGGGAGGCTGGTGGACTGCCATGTTTCTGAATGGGTGCAGGTGGATAACACCACATCTGTGGGTTGGGAGTGATTTCCTGTTTTCCAGTTTGGGCATTTACTCGATACAAAATCTTATTTATCCACTTCTGTTGTTGCACAGGAAGAGATTCTTTCCATGCTCTTGGAAGTGCAATCTGTTAAAGGAGGGATAAAATAAATTGGATCAAACATTGATGATTTATTTCCATTTCTAATTACACTCAAGATCTAGTAATGGTTTATCTGTGGATTCATGCAGCTGAACTAAACACTTTGCAGCAGTTCCTTCACAGGTGTCACAGAGTTCAGTAGATACAGGCGTATCTTACATGTATGCTATAGTAATAGATAATGATTTGCTCCAAAAAATCGACAAGTCAAGAATCTTTGACACAGCTGAAATTCCAGACAACACTGTTATCCTGTCTTAATCCGGAACATTTCCAAAATAATGGTGTGTATTTTTATATGTACAATAATAAAGATCAAAGATGACGATTTATAAGAAAGAATAGCATTGTTACTCAGTAAAATTAAACTCTGTAAGTAAATTATGCTAAAACTATTAGAACACTTAAGAGTCAGATCACCTCTGAAAATGTACTTGTACCACTCTGTGTAGTTGTAGATGACTCTGCTGGTGGATCAGTGGATGTTATTCTCGAAGAACCATGCTGACTCTGGTGGCGTGACTGAGAACCTTGAAAGAGCATAACACTGACATCAGCAGAAATCAAACAATGACGTCCCATGTCTAGTTGCTCCAAGACCAGGTTGGACCACCCAGCAAACTTTTTTCTACAAAACTTGCACTCCAGGTATTCTGTGGCCATGTAGTAGTATCCATCCAAACTAAGAACTTTACGTAAAGTATGATAAAGCCCAGCCTGGGTCAAATACACCTGTAATGAAATAATTGAAGTAAAATATCATTACATAAAAGGATCAATCTGAAAGCAACTAGGCCATTATCCCACTGAAGATAGTGTATGTTAAACAGGTCACTTAATAACATGCACAAGAACTATTTACATACATGTAACATGTGTCATCATGTAATGGCTAAAAAATTAATAATTATAAATATCTATTTGTGAATCAATAATAAATCAATGACTGACATTGATGGCCAATAACGAGCAAATTGCTAACAAGTTATAAAATATGACATACCTTGTCAAACAAACTGAGATAATGGGACCACATTTGTTACAGACAGGTAGGTTACATACCAACCCTTACTTTTTTTTCATCTTGCTTTGCTTGACACTCCTTAGTTCATCTTAAATCAACTGCCCAAATCCTCTGTGGCGCCCAAAAGAAGAATGGTTCGAGGAAGTATGCATCTGGGGAGGCTGGTGGACTGCCATGTTTCTAAATGGGTGCAGGTGGATAACACCAAATATGTGGGTTGGGAGTGATTTCCTGTTTTCCAGTTTGGGCATTTACTCGATACAAAATCTTATTTATCCACTTCTGTTGTTCCACAGGAAGAGATTCTTTCCATGCTCTTGGAAGTGCAATCTGTTAAAGGAGGGATAAAATAAATTGGATCAAACATTGATCATTTATTTCCATTTCTAATTACACTCAAGATCTAGTAATGGTTTATCTGTGGATGCATGCAGCTGAACTAAACACTTTGCAGCAGTTCCTTCACAGGTGTCACAGAGTTCAGTAGATACAGGGGTATCTTACATGTATGCTATAGTAATAGATAATGATTTGCTCCAAAAAATCGACAAGTCAAGAATCTTTGACACAGCTGAAATTCCAGACAACACTGTTACCCTGTCTTAATCTGGAACATTTCCAAAATAATGGTGTGTATTTTTATATGTACAATAATAAAGATCAAAGATGACGATTTATAAGAAAGAATAGCATTGTTACTCAGTAAAATTAAACTCTGTAAGTAAATTATGCTAAAAGTATTAGAACACTTAAGAGTCAGATCACCTCTGAAAAAGTACTTGTGCCACACTGTGTAGTTGTAGATGACTCTGCTGGTGGATCAGTGGATGTTATTCTCGAAGAACCATGCTGACTCTGGTGGCGTGACTGAGAACCTTGAAAGAGCATAACACTGACATCAGCAGAAATCAAACAAAATTTAAAAAAAGAAGATTCATAAAACTAAATGACTGTATAGGCTAACATAAAGGATGAGAGGCCCAGTCATGGGTACCAAGGACATTGAGAACCATTATAATTATATGTACAATGCCTTTTACCTGTTTCCCTATGTTCAATCTCTTCAACTAGCTGGACAAGGATTTCATCATCTGCTCTTTCTTGCTCCTGTTTTTTTGGAGCTGATCTAGCTTGCCACCAGGATGAGAAACAGGATAATGGAGCAATTCCCTTATATACTTTTTGTGTTCATCTTGGACAGACTCAAACAGGGCTTGTCTTGTCATATGGTTGTATGGCCCAAACCCAACAAGGACTTTTCCCTCTTTGTCATAACTATTAGTAGAATTCGCTTCAGCTTGCACAGTATTCCTTTTTTGTCTTGCTTTAATAGCAGCTTTCATTTCTGGAAACACATTAACATACCTAAAAGTATCCAATGAAAATGCATGTCAAAATTCACAGTATTATAGAATGAATATTTCTTTCAAGCTATCTTCTTTGTAGTTTATCTTAAAATGCAACTTGTCAGTTTTGAATAACTGAGAAGTATTATTTTAGATTTAATGATAAACTACAAAAAGACAGCATGGTCATGATGTTAATACATTTTTATGTGTACATAAATTATTTCCTTTTAATTGTTACAAAGTTTTCTGCAATTAAGTCTTGATTTACCTGTAAAGAGCTTCCTTGTTGTCCCACTGAGCATCATTCGTTCTTTTTGTCTTTTCTCTAGCTTGTTCATGGTCTGCCATTAACACGACAGTCCACCCTATATCATTTTGTAAGAGCCAGAGAAAGCTCTTGCCTTGATATTTACCAAACTGCAAAAAACTCATACTTAGTATCCACTCTTCATTGTCTGGATTGCCACCAGCCTGTATAACTCGCTCTTTTGCTTCTTTCTCTACCTGTTTAAATAATGAACAAGGCACATTTAACTGAAGCTTTTGTTAGAGGGTAGCAAATTTGAGTCCTATCATGCATCACGCTAATAATTTTGTCACAGGAAATCCCTTTGCCACTGTCTTGTTATAGACATTGATTATCTATCAAATATAAATAGCCTGGTTAAGCTCTTTGTTGGTCTCAATTTTTCTTTTTGTGAAGACAACCTGAAAAATATGAACCCCTTAATAACAAACACTGCACTCCAAAAAATGAAACTCTCCACCCCAGCGAAATGTAAAACCTTTTTAACAGGATCTCCAACAGAAATGAATAATTTCACCAGACTCTCTTAGTGCTTCATCAGGGTTATACATGTACTACAAAGCTTAACAACTTGCAAGTTATAAACAACCTGTAACCTTCATGGCATCAAATTACTGTACACAGTTATACAATATATACTCCTCTTGTAATTAAATAGGCTTATCGAGTATGCCTGACAGTCATAAAAGATACCTGCTCTTTGGCCAACTTAGGCCCTAAAACTCCTTCATTCTTCTGCCTTTTTATAAGCTCTGCAACATTTTTCGCTCTGTCAGTGCATGACCACAGTAATTCACCTGATCTATAAAACCGAAATTGAGGTCTTCTTGGAGGCAATGCTTGTTTAACCTAATGAACATGGAAGAATAAATGACTAAAAACAAACCAAGAAAAATAACTATGAATTTAATGTTTTTAGTGTTCTCAGGTGGTAATTATAAGGTCAGTATCAATCTGAATAATTGTCTAAATAAAGCTTGCTAGGGGCAACCCCAAAGCTTTTAAAATAGCTCTAAGTCAAATTAATCTTACTGACGTCTAGTGCTTGATAAAAGGCTTATCCGAAAACTAATGCACGTTATAACACAGACCCTCTAAAATGTCTTAATGTTAGATCGTTTGTAAAGAATAAAATAAAGTGGGCCGTTAATATTATCATGAGTATAAGCTTAGATGCATTTTCGTAGCTAGGACTGCAGTTATTAAAGAACTGACATTCATGAATATATAATATCATACCATATGGTTAATATCTACCACGGAGAGTCTACTAAATAATAAATAACGACGTTAAACTACATAAATGTGAGAAATCTGCTATCCAGAAACTCTACAGACTCTAAATTGGGAGAATGTTGACATATCAACGCAATGCACATGCAACAATCTGACCGGCTTTATCGATTCTAGAGATATTCGGCCGTGTATACAAGCAGAAAAAAAATGAGATATGCTAATGGAAGTGATCCTATCTATTACGAGCTCCAACTATGATTTAAGTGTTTGAATTACCTGAAACACACTAAAGAAATTTCACTCACCTCTTGGTTACCTTTCGCCGCCATCTTGGATTCCCAATTTCAATTTTAAGACTATGACGTGCTGTGATTGGCTGCTGATGTCAATTTTAAGACAATGCAGTCACTTGATTGGTGCAAAAGTCTCAAAATTGGGCTCAAAGATTGACGATTTTTTAGCGCGAAAAAAAATTTGGTGTTCTCCTCTGTTTGAGAACTCCAAATTCCACCTGCGAACATGCGCACGACGTGCGCAAATGATATGTTGGGTTTTCCCTGTTAATTGACGGCTTTTCCGTGTAGATGTTCTCTTTGCAGGAAGTTCGCGCGCAAATGGCGCAAATAACAATTTTTAATAACTGCAATATCATATACACATAGTTTACTTGGTGAAGCAGATTATACATAAGCAAACACTGTAAATCGTTAATTAATTGCTTGAGCTTTTATACGATTACTTCTCTCTATTTCCACTACAGAGCAAATTAAAAATTAATGATAATTTTTCTGCTCTCAGCCAGTCACAATGAAGTAATTCGCTCAGACTCCTATAATAAGGAGGCTAATTTAACGCTACCAACAAATAAATTAATTTCAGTATAGAAATGTTTTCTATTCATTTGTTTTCCGTCTTTTTCCCTTCCCCTGTTCTTTCAAGTTTTCCACCCATTCTTCAAAGATTTTGTCCGATTTTTCTCTACACCACCAGTTTCCATAGTACTGTTTATGGTTATCAGCCAGCCGTTCTTTCCCACACTGCTTGCAGGTAGTGCCATCCTTCCTGTTGTATCTTTTTCTTTGAACGTTGCCTTCAAGCTCTTTTTGCAGCCGCTTTCTTCTGTAGGACATGGTGGATGACAGTACCTGTGGTTCGGCTGCTGGTATACCTTGGGGTTGGGGAACATGTGTTGTTGTTGATTGTGGCGAGAATAGCACTGCACCAGGGGGAAAGGGCGTTGCCGAAAGGGAGAAGGATGGCAACACTGTCGTGGGTTGATTGGGCAGGATAGTTCGTGGTCTGCGTGCTGTTTTTGCAGCACCAGCGGCATTTGTAGGAAGATGGAACTGGTGCTCTTCACTTGTACCAGTGAGAAGTTCTTGTGGGCGGGCCATGGCGGCAGGCAACGGAGCTGGTGCTGTCATAGACGGGGTTGGGAGAGTGATCCCTTGTTCCAAAACTTGTCGCTCGGTCTCCTTGGATTTTTTGTTAAACCTTTTCAACCAAAGAAAAGTGCATTTTAATGTGTATTTGGTGAATATAGATTAAAGAATACGTAGCTGATGGGATTTAATGTGGGAGTTTAATGTGTGCGCAGATAAGTGGCCGAGCTAAGAACTGAAATATTTATTCGTATTGTTTAAGTTAACGTACCACTGTGTTAATGTAGACTGATTGATGTCAACCAGCTCGATTGCTGTATCGCTCATCACCTTTGAACACTGCACTACCAGGGTTTTGATGTTTTGGTAGGCTCTCAAGATCAATGTCCACTGCAACACCCTATTCCCATTCTGGACCACGTTTCCTGGATAGGCAGCACAAAGTTTGTCGATGATAGCCTGCATATATCTCTTGCAATCAGGTCGCTGGGCAGGGCCAGCGTTTTGACCAAGGAAGCACCTGAAGCAAAATGAAACCATTAATCTTCCGTAGTAATAGAGCAATTGTTGAAGTAATACGTCTTTCTAACAATACAACAAATTTGTAAATCTATAATGATTACCGGCGGGTAGCTTCAACTCCAGGAGCAACAGTTGACTTAGAGGCTTTAAACCTCCCTCGAGGTGACGTACTTGAGAAGCGTGGAGAAAATAGCCCACAGTTTTAAAATTGTGTTTGCTTGGCCGTTGTCCAGGGGCCTTTCTTGATCACGAAGACAGACAAGATAGTTTGCCAAGTCGTGGACCTCACCGAAACCTTCTATATTGTCTGGACCAATGCATTCCTGTGTGAAAAAAAGAGTAAAAAAGGAAATTTATTTCGGTAAATTTCAAAGGGCTAATCAGTTATTATTATGTATGGTAGGTACTTACTCAAGATTCATCCGAGATCTCGTCAGCGGCATCACAGGAAGATCCTGGTTGAGACGGGGAAGCAGATGAAGTCGACGGGGCTTCCATGAACAAGCCTAGGGTACAGGAAAACTAAAATATACAATCAACACAATTACAAATTTGCTGCTACAACAAGCACTTACCACTTTGTGTGGATGGTGTGTTCAGCCCCATGGAAACACGAGAAGCAGACAAGGGTGTTGTAGAAGGCGTGTTAGAGGCGAAGGATGCACTTAAAGTAGTAGAATCTGGAAAAATAAGTAGTAAGTTTACTGCCTGGTATTTTTGCTTGTAAAGGGACACAATAAATGCCTACCGTGTTGTCGGGGTGTTGTAGTAGATTGACGGGCTGGCTGGTCGATGATAAACTGCTGTGGAGCGATTGTTGGATCGTTAAAGGCAAGGGCCTCATCAAATCCTTCATCATCCGAGTCCTCATTTGCATCACCGCCGATGTCGTCAGTCTCAGTCGCGTCACCCTGTATGACCTGCAGGACCTTTCCCGTTTGATCATATAGGTATTCCACTCCCAGTAGTTCACCTACATTAATCAATAGAAAAATCGAGAAGCCAATAACATCAAGAAACCATACAAACTATAAACTGTATGAAGAGGCAAACTAATCGATGATCTACATACCAGTGTATTTATTGGGTCCCTTAAAGCTCGGTACTAAAGACTTCCCAAACACTTCCTCACTCAGCTGGTTTGCCACGTAGCGGAGAAGGACTGAGTAGGACTGAGGTGGTTCTCGTTTCTTCACCGTGGATACTGCCGCTCTTGAGCGGTCCTGGTTCCACCTCATCAGTCCCTCAAGGAGATAGGCTTGAAAGTGTAGGTCGCTTACTGTATTGCCTGTGAACAACCCGTAACATGATATAAACAGTGAACTCAATACGGCAATATATTATGATAACGATTTAATATGAGCAGTTAATTGTTGAGTTATGAACACGCGGGAATTCCACTGAAACTGACCAATCGTAAAGCGCACGCAATTCCTTTAACATTTTTTAATATCAAATAATGTTCCTATGTTAATATTCTAGAAATCTACTGCAAACGTTTACATAGATAGTGAAACCTACCTGGGATAAAGATTGATGTGCAGGTGGAAGGACTCGAGCGAGGTTGAGCCGCGTGCGCACCGGTACACCTTTAGTTCAACACCCCCCCTTGGTGATTGTGCCAACCTCCATATAGAGCTGAACGCCTGGTTGGTCAAGAATACAGTTGACGTGCTCTCTTACTCTTTTCCCATTCTTCCCAGATCCTCCTGCTATTGAAGAGAGGCACACCCAGTGTATCACGACCCTGCTCACCGTCGAAAAACTCTATAAGGTTTGTAATGTTACGTACAATGTCCTCGGTGCTATGGGTTGTGCGGCGGCAGTGAAGCGCGAACTCGCGACTGGTAATTCTACTGAGAGCATCTCTATCTCCTGGGTCCTTTATGCCTTGGCTCTCCATCTCCCTTTTCTTTGCCTATTTGGGGCGCTCGAGATTGTTACTGTCCCATTGGAAAATGCATTGTGATAGCCTAGCCATGAATGTTTGGTGTAGCTGATGGGACTCAGTGGAGCAGCCAGTGGCTATACGACACATGAAATGATAAATATCGAGTCGGATAAGTAGATTATCCCACTCTGCGAAAAGAGCTTTGCTCTTACCGGAGCAGCAGTCCCTGTCAACGTAGAGAAGGACCGGAGGATCCACGCTCGCATCCTTATACCGCTTCATGAGCCCGCCGGCCATTTTGCTCAGCCCAGATCCTTCCTTGGCAGTAAGGACGCTAACAAGGACCTGCCCATGTTCGTTGCCTACGTTGGTCACCCACACTGCTGTTCGAAATGCTTGACCAGATAGCTTCTTGGCCACCTGAAATAGTCACATCCAATGATTTTTCTCGGTTGGTTAGCAAACATTCCTACATCTATTATCTAATTGTTATACCTTATTAGCAAAGTAGACTCAGACAAAATCAGACAAGTGTATTGCTCTAACCTTTTTGGTAGAATCCATCTTGAGGATTTTGCCAAATACGGAAGTTATCAAAGGCTTGACTTCGTCCACGCGCCGCAATACATCCTGGCAATAGACGCTTTGAAGCCACTGGAATTTTGGAACAGGAGTCAAAGCGGGTGGCTGGCTGACTGTAGGTATATTTACCAGGCCCCTAGCGCCTGCATCTGCAAAGGCCTTGCACTGGGTCAGGTATGCAATTGATTGCTGCAAATAGCGCTCGTTGTGCTGCTCTACGATCGCCTTGTACAGCTTATGGGGACCATTACCAATGCCTCTATCACGCATCATTCTGATAACCCGCACATCACACGCATACTTGTATGTGAGTATTACAGGAAATTGAAGGCGATGGCCCATATCTAGTTGAGAGAGGACAGGGGCACTCCATGCAATTACCTTCTTTCTGCAACTTGAACATTCCAGGTACTCAGACACCAGGTGGTACACACTGTCCACATCTAGTACTCGGCGGATGACTGGGTACAAGCCGGCGGATGTCAGCTCGTGGTTAGTGCAGGTACTATATCTCCAAAGTTTCTTTGGCAGCCACAGAAAAAGTCTATTGCCAAAGTATCAGTTGACTTTCGGTGGAATAGGAGATGAAAGGTGGGGTTCAGGAGGATGCCACCACAACTTATTTATCTGGCTGTAGGCTATTTCTGGCTTGCCTGTTGCAGACCATTTGACCAGTGCTTTTCGATATCCACTGGTGGTCAACCTCTGGCAAGTATTTGAGCCAGCTACCTGGCAAAGGGTATTCTGCAGGTGCAAAAAAAATTCATATACATAATTATCCGTTAGCAAACACATAACTATTATAGCTATCATTTATTTAATTAATTAATTAAAAATTAAATTAATAAAAATATTTCAGCTATATTTATTTATTTAT